GGTGGAATGGTTTGGGTTGGAAGGGGCCTTAAAGATCATCTCCTTCCAACCCTCCTGCCATGGGCAGGGACATCTCCCACTAGACTAATTTGTTCCAAGCCCCATCCAACCTGGCCTTGAACGCTGCCACAGGTGGAGCATCCACAGCTTCTCTGGATAACCTGTTCCAGTGCCTCACCACCCTCACAGCAAAGAATTTCTTCCTAATATCTAATCTCAACCTACTGTCTTTCAGTTTGAAGCCATTCCCCCTTGTCCTGTCACTGCATGCTCTTGTCTTCTCTCTCTCTGGGAAGCTGGGATTTCAGCATCCCAAACCATTGCAGGGACTGGAGCCTGTGTGGCTCTCGCTCCCCACTCCTGCCCTCCCACCCTGCCTGGCTCAGTCGCTGCAGGTGGTTGCCTGTGTGAGCTGATTCCATTTTTGTTCTGTTGAAAAAGAAAAAAAAAGGACAAGATGAAGGTAAGACATTACAGAACAGCATTTACATGCAAAACAAAGATGTTGTTTCATCCAGTCAGCAGAAGCCTTGATGTAGTTTTAGCTATTAAAGAGTTACATTACCTGAAGAATTTCTTTTGTGCAGCAAAAACTTTTCAGGAGTTTCCTTTGAAGCCTTTATTGAGGTCAGGGGCTGCAGCCTCTTGCAATCTTTCCATGTCAGCCTACAGCAGTTTTTGAAAGCCCTTACACTGGATATTGTGACAAACGCCTGCTCTTTGTTCATTAGTTTACACTTGGTAATAGATGTGAGGCCAGGCTGGAGGATGCTCTTGGCAAGCAATTCACACTCTGCTGCACTAGCGTTTGCCATGGCTGGAATAGCTGGAGACAGTACAACCCTCTTCTAGGGGTCTGCGTTTTTAATTAAAACACCAAGCTGAGGAACGGGCGACTGCGGAGCATTTTGACCCAACAAGGAATGACAAGCACATGTCTGCTTTTAAAATAAATTAATTAATACCCACTATCTTACCGGTATAAAACTGTCAGCACTTGATGAGGGTGGGCAAACCCAGAAGCAAAGCATTTGTACACTGGGAAACGCAGACACAAACACTCCTGTGATACCAGCAGCACACCGAGGCACACACTTCGGAACACCCAGCTCCAAAGGTGAGCTGGAGGGGACTGGAGCTGGTTCCAGCTCACACCACCAGCTGATTTTAGGGCAAGTTACATCCACGACCTTGGGGCCTTTGGATGAGCATATTCTGCCCTATTGAGATATTTCATTTACAAACACCTGGTTTACAAAGCACTACAAACACATGCAATTCCAGAAGCAAACACAGCCGGTGCTTCTCACCTGACTGTGCCACAAACCACACGTGAGCACAACAGCTCCTCATGGGAAAAACCTATTCCACATGAGACCCCTTCCCTGTGGGGCGCCCCTCCAAATGAGGACAACTAAAAGCCATTTCCTTGCTCTCAGATTTAAACACTTTCATGGTTATGGTAGTGGCAAGAGGGGATTTGCCTCACACACCTTCAGCCCAGGCTCTGCTGAAAACATTTGGGAGCAGCTGGGCACGAGGGCTGCCCATCCAGCTTCAGATCCACCTCTACAAATTTGGGAGGTGGTTCTAAGCCACAAAGCTCAGGCCCCTGGCCAAGATCTAACAGTAGGCCAGGAAACATTGTCACCTTCCCACACAAACAGTTTTTCAAGCCTGCCAAAAACTGATTCGCTCCAAAGGCAACTCCAAGTGACACTGGAAGAGTTACTGGTGGAGTATCTTCCCATTGCATGACCTGCTACAGCATCTGCACCAAAGCCAAAACACAATAGGACAGGCATGTTCCCACTCCCAGACATGTTCACAAGGTGTTAGAGCAGCTGCCAGGAGAGGAATAAACATATTACCTTGATGACTGTTTTGAACCTGTTTAACCCTGTGTTCGGAACAGCTTCCTGCCGAAGCCCTGGATGCAAGGAGGTCCTCCTGAGAGTCTCCCTCTGCCATTTTTCAGCTTCCCACTGCTCTCATTGCCAAGCATCCAAGGCAACTACAAATAAGTTTTCTCCAGTTGGTTCTTCCACCACCTTTGGGATGTTGCCTGACAATTGCTCGCTTTTCCCTGAAAGAATCAGCAAAGAGCCCTTGTTCCCAGCAGAAAAGTGTGAGATCAAGAACGTTCTGCTTTCTGGTCCAGCTTGTCCCGTGCTCCCAACACGGACCCTGCCTGACTCCAGCCCTGCAGCCCTTCCCGCCGAGCACATCCTGTTTGCCATCCTTCCTGCTGCTCTGTGCCATTAGCACGATACCATCAGTTTTTCCACTAAGGCTCCCACATCCTTTTCCTGATCAACACATTGTACAATTGTTCCATTGACTACACTCTGATGGAAAAAAAGTACCAAGCTTGAGCCTCATCCCCTGCAGGGCAGGACAGCAAGGGGTGGTTTCCTTCTCCAAGCCTGTGCAGTTGCATTTACAGATAACTCTGCCACAGCATCCATATTCTCAAAGAACAGTATTTTATAGGATTTACTGCACGTTGTGTATAAATGATTCATGATTTCTTCCTGTAAATATATGACAAGATATGGGCACCCACGGACTGCTGGTTTACAGCCTGGGCAGCACTGCCAGTGGTCGCTGTTTCCAGATGTGTTCCAGCAGACCCAACAGCAGTGACTCCTGTGCTCTTCCCACAGCCAGTGTTTCCTCCAGCCATAATCCTCATCCATGCTGGACAGCTACAGGACTCCTCTTACACCCAAAACCACCCATAGGAGCTTCCCACAGGGAGCCTGGCCCAGCCATGGCTCCCTCCACCAAGCACTGCCTCCCACAGAGTTCTTCAGATTTGTGTCTGCATGTTCCTTGTGACAAATTCAGTGATGTTTTGCCTACCCCAGGGTTCCCTTTGCAGGCTCTGGTGCAAACCCAGAACTCAGCTTGCAGAGACACCCCTGAGCCAATACATGGGGGACTAATTTTTTGGCGCATTCTGCCACCATCCCTGTTGTCAGACCTGGCCTGGAGGTGAGGGCTGCCCAGGGATGTGGTGGAGTCACCATCCTTGGAGGTGTTCAAGGAACGACTGGAAGTGGCACTCAGTGCTCTGGTCTGGGTGACACGGTGGGGGGATCAGTCGAAGATTGAACTCGATGATCTTGGAGGTCTTTTCCAACCTCAATGACTCTGTGATTGTGTGAGGGCTCTGCCCCAGTGACTCCAGCCGTGCCACCGCTCCAGGACAGCTGTTTTGAGAGGAGGGGAAACTTGATCTGGCCATTCAGGAGGGAGGCGATGCTCTGCGAACACATCACTGCTCACACGATGACGGGATCAGGCACTGGGAGCCTGACCTGCGCCCCGTGAAGCAGCCGGGCGGTGGGGAGCGGGCACACACGGACACATCGCCCGTGTCCCACCCCGGCGGCCGCAGGAGCGGTTCCCAGGGCGCAGCGTTTGGGATGTCCCGCTGTTTTCCCCCCTCTTTCCCGGGATCCCGAAGCCGCCGCCGCGGGGTTTCCCTGCGCGCTGCTGCCCCCTGGCGGCCCGGGGCGGGAATCCGGGAATGTCAGCCCGGGAATGGCGCGGCCGGGGGTACCTCCGGTGTGCCCGAATCTCACCTTTTTCCCGACGGGAGCATCAGCGGATTCCTGCTGTTTAGGAGCCCGCCTGGCGCTTCCATGGCTGCGCCGCCCGGACCTGGGGAGAGGCTCTGGCCGGAGATTCCCAGTGGAATCCTTCCAGCTGGGATGGGGTTCCCTGGAGCTGGGTCCCCGCACCGAGTGGGAGCACCCCTTACCCTTGTGCCCATCCATCTCCCAATCGGATGGGATTCCCCAGAGGGAGCACTCTGGTTGGGTTCTCCTTTTCCTTTGACCCTCTGGGCAATGGGCAGAGAGAATTTTTATACAAAACTATTCACCCTCCCAAGCCACCCTTTAAAAGGATCTGCACAAACAGGAGTATCCCAGAATGATTCCTTTACAGCTCGACTCTAAAAGACCACGACTCTACTGCCATACTGGCTGTAAATCACCTTGTAAGAAATCAGGGAAACACCCAACACACGGAAGACAGGGCAGACTCCCAGTGTAAAACAACACTTTAAAATGCAAATCAAAGTCAGTGGGTTGCAGACCTCTTCTGTGAATTCTGTCAGATCCTGCTCATTACATACATCCTCGTATTGCCACTCCTGGCTTTAAACTGCAGATTTTCTTCTTTAAACAGTTCCCATTGCAATGGGAACTACCCCTTTTAGCAAACACCAGAATTCCAGACCATGGGTATGTTACTATCTCCATATCTCCATATCTCCAGTGCCACAACCATACAGTTAACATGGAATCCTAGAACAGTCTGGGCTGGAAGGGAGCTAAAATCATCTCATTCCAACCACCTGCCATGGGCAGGGACACCTTCCACTAGACCAGGTTGCTCCAAGCCCTGTCCAACCTGGCCTTGGACACTTCCAGGGATGGGGCAGCCACAGCTTCTCTGGGCAACCTGTGCCAGGGCCTCCCCACCCTCACAGGGAAGAGTTTCTTCCTAAGAAAACATCTCCAATCCAAATAAATCAGCATCGCTTACCTGGGGAATAGAAAGGTTCCTGCAAGACAGATTCCCCACTGGCTATGCACATACCAGAGCAGATGCTTGGATGCTGGCTCTGGACACCCTCAATTCCTGAAAAACCATCTCCTGGTGGTCTGGTGGAAGACCACATCCTGAGGAAACAGATCTTTGAGTGGTCAGGCCAATGGTTGTTACATTCTTCAACATGAAGTTCACTTCCCTTCTGCACCTCTAAAAGACAGGTATAGTGATATTCTTATGTTGTAGATTAAAACCCTTCTTAACACACACGAGGGGTTTGTTCACAAACCATGTGACTAGGTAGTGATGTTGTATCCAAACCTGGTGGTCTCCACATCCTGGTGGTCCCCACCACCACAGTAGGAGCTGCATCACTGGCACAAGTGTATTGGCAGAACACAAAAAACAAAAACAACTCATGCTTTGAGGCAAACTGTTACACGGATATATTTATTGCATTGCAGTCTTAGCAATTTTAAATATAAACATTTACATCTGGAAAGCAGAATATTGCAAAGTCGGTATTATTCAGTATGTTCATAGCAGCATCAGCTTCCTAAGAAACAAAATATTTAGGAAGAGAGAGAAGGAATTACAAACGAGTTACACCCTCATTTATCACCACCTGACCCAAACATGGAACTGCAGCTGTGAAACAAGATACTGAAGTCCTTGAAGACGTCAGTAATTTCAAGACTGAAGTGCATCGTTGTACCTGATACCCCGCACGGTTTCCGTGTGCCGAGGTGTGAGTCTAACAGTCACGTGCCTGGAGAGGGCAGATGGTGGGTGTACCTGCATTGCCTGACAGGGATAGTTTTAGTAACAATACTTAGCACTTACCACCTCCCCAGATCCTTGCCACACAGGCAAGGATTGCTCTTGGATGTGCTGCAGCTGTGGAGCGTCAGGGAGGAGGAGGGAGGTGACTTGCCAAGGCCACAGTGAGGAGTAGAGAGCTAAGAATTTGTCAGCATCTGACTCCCAATCCCATGTCAGTCTGGCAGGTCATGCTGCTCCTCTGTGGTTCCTTGAGGAAGTTCTATAGATGACTGATTGGTCAACAAGTCCTCAATCTGTGAAACTACAGTGGATGTGTGCACTATTTGAAAAGAGGTCAGTGTATCTGCTCCCCTCCTAATGCCCAGTTTAGGTTCAGGGAAACCAAACGCTTCTCATTTCCTCCTCTCAGAGTGATGTGTCTCACTGAAGACACCATGACACAGCTGCACTTTGCTCTGAAGTGGTGAAAATCAGAAGCAATCGCTACAGGAGCAGCTTTCATTTCTTTCCTGAGGGAGAGCACTGATCTTTTGAGAGGAAAACAGGATGGATATGTTTTCACACAAACCGATCAAACTATTCTTCATTCTAAACGAATACAAGACTGACTGAAAGTCTCAGGTGCACTACTTTTTTTCAACAAAGTCATCCAAGTGTATGCTACGAAGCCAGAAGCTAATAAGATAGTTATCCAGGAACATCAGAAGGCATTTTCCTTCCCTGACAGGCCTTCCCTGCCAACAGCTAAGAGCAAGAGCACTTAGTGACATCTAAAAGGACTTGTAAACATCACCAGACAAACATCTCTGCTATTTCTCCATAAAGTTGTCCTTTCTCCTGCACCCCTGGGAGGCCAACAAGGACAACCAAGTCTCCTCCATCCCTGCCTCGACAGGACAAATTTGCTTACTTGTTTTTTCTCCCTCTGGGTTTCCTGTGCAAAATTTTAAAGGTAGGATCAAACGTGCCAGTTTTTAGCGATGGAGCCTGGCAGATACTCCAGGGGCAGTTCCTGTGCTGTGAAAGGCTCACAGCACAAGGGATGCTGCACTCAAGGGCTGTCTCTGCATCCTCCTTTCCTCTACAGAGCACAACTGCCCAGTGCTGGCCTGACTGTGCCCGAGTCCACCAGCTAGAAAGCTACTTCCCATGTCAGGAGTTATCACCAACTGAGTAATTCCTCTTCACTCCTCTTTCTTTACCTGCTTTCTCACTTTCAGCCTGCCATGAAAGGCTATAGTTGGGATAATGTACTGACAGGAAATTACACACCTTTTTTTTTCCATCAAGAAAAGTCTCCATCAAGTGCACCAATCCTGCAGTGCCCATCCAGAGGAGGACCATCGGACTGCCCTTTCCCAAAGGGTTTGTTTTTTTCTGCTACTAAGAAGTAAAAAAGATGCCAGCAAATGATGCTGTTATACAGTAACAGTTTTCTCCATATTTCACAGAATGACAGAATGGTTTGGGTTGGAAGGGACCTAAACGAACATCTCATTCCATCTTGCCATGGGCAGGGACACCTTCCACTATCCCACATTGCTCCATCCAACCTGGCCTTGGACACTTCCAGGGATGGGGCATCCACAGCTGCTCTGGGCAACCTGTGCCAGTGTCTCACTGCCCTCACAGTAAAGAATTTCTTCCTAATATGTAATCTAACCCTACTGTCTGTCAATTTGAAGGTATTCCCCCTTGTTCTATCACTACATACTCTTGTAAACAGTCTCTCTCCATCCTTCTTGTAGGCTCCCTTCAGGTGCTGGAAGGCTGCAATTAGGTCACCCCTAATTCTCTCAGCTGAGAGAATCTCAGTTCTCTCAGCCTTTCCTGGTTTGCAATATCTGAATTACAGTAAGAATTCCACAAATTCTGTAATACTTTAGTTTTCCAACACTATTTCTAGAAATAGCTTTTCATAATGTTCTAACAAAGACTGTCTTAGGATTGCTATAGTACAGACCTCAAATTTTTAAGCCAATGTCAAGAAGCAAAAGCATGAACTGAAATAGTTCTGGGCTGCAGATGATGCAGACCTCAGCATTTATGTTTTACACTTGGCAGTGCAGGCAGGAGACAAAAATCTTCATATTAATTGGCAGTATTTTGGAGTTATGCTCTGAGGCAGACACTGGCATACACCTCAGCAGCTTCTCAGGGAAGAGCTTGCCTGGCTGAGGGAATCACTGCATCACCCCTGAAAAGGTGCAATACTGTGCCTTTTCAGTTTTATCCAGTGGCAGAGCTTGCAGTGTAATTTGGTAGTTATAACTCTGATTTGTTTGATCAGAGATGGGAAGTTCACCTAGAGATAAACTCAGTGCTTCCAGTTTGATGTCCTTGCTGCCTCTCCATTTTCCTTCAAGATCCTGGATGAAATCAGTTTCCACTGTGTCCTTTAGGTCAGTGCCAGTCAGAAACAGAAAGGGTGAGTGTGGGCAGCATGTTGGACAGAACGTCACATTCAATAAGAATTAGACACCTTTTTTACTCTGCCTCTCTTTTCCTGGACACCTCTTCACCCACAGTGATTCACAGGTGCAAGTGGGTGGCTGCAACAGCAAACAAAGAAAACCTAGCACTGTGGGAAGGAAAATAAGTAACAAAATTATTTTTCAAAAATTTTTCAGTATACTTCCAAATTATTGGAAGTATTACCCAAAGTAAATAATTCTTCTGACCAAATAATTCCAAAAGTGTGAAGAGAACACTATGAAAATCAAGAATAGGGAAAGGCTATCTGGATTCAACACTAGGTGGGCTAACATTCCTTAGGGAGGGGGAAATCAGCAGGCAGTCAGGTTTATTCCTGCCGAGACCTTGCCCTGCTGAGGGAAAGCTGCAAAAGAAACCACAAATCCAAAAACTGAAGGACAAGAAGCAGATGGAAAACAGCACTCACTGATTAATTCATTAATCACTGGGGAGGACATGCTAAGTACCTCTCTAGATCAGGAAAAAAACTTCCAGGCAATTAACAAGCTGGACAAGTCAGTTGAGAGAAGGAACTAAAACCACACTTTCTTAAAAGCTCCTTTTTTCCCTTGCCTTTTACCTCTTCTACTACCACAGCCCTGTTTAAGAAGTGTTCAGTAAAAACTGGGCAAAACCATTTCACTATACAAATAAAACTGGCACTGTTAAAAGTGAGACTTGGCTCCCTGCTGGACTGTGTTGGGAATGGAAAGATACACAATGACACCAAGAGATATCTGTGGGACATCACGTTCCAAGACTATGGCATTACATCATTTCTGCACCTGGTAGCGCAACATTTCACAAGTTTTGTATTTGTCTGCTGTTTCAGAGATCATCCTAAAAATTTATCAAATTATCCCAGCACTCCTTCAAAGTCAGTTCAGAAAACTGTTCCCTATAATTCAGTACCTCACCACAAACACACTTTAGGAACTACCACTGAGCACCAGGATGAGCAAAGTCCTAGAAATACGGGACAGAGAACTAACTGGTGGATCCTTTTCAGAGGTTCCTCATACCTGCCCAAGGCTTTTTCACTCTCCTCCCAGGACTGCCTCCTGCTCCTACTCCTTTGGTGTGTCTTTGCTCACAGCATCTCTGTGACACTGCAACCAGGAGAGGGAGGGCTGGGAGCAGACAGCTTTTTGAACAAAAATTTGATGCTGAGTTTGGAAAAGGAAAAATATGGAAAGAAAAACCCAGAAACAACAAAAAATCCCCAAAGCTCACATGTTTCCAAGGGTTTGTTTTTTTTTTAATAAACAGATTTATGTGAATACTCAGGTGAGGTAGAAAAAATCATTTCAGAACATGACATTCAATTTTATTTAAAGAGCAACATTATCTGAAGTATTAAACATGCAAGTGACAACACACATACAGGATCACTTGCTTAATCACAATCATGATGTTTGAAAGAGACAAAATCTGTAAAACAGCATTTTAATAATGCGCTTTAATGACAGAAAAAGTGGGAAAAGGAAGACATTTTGGAAGATCTGGAGTTGTAGAAGAGGCATCTGTATTTAGGAAGCAGCTTGGAAATAAGGAGAAAGGTGGACAGGAAAGTAGGAAACAAATGAAGAACCAACAAATAAGCCATTAAATCTAAATTGGAAGAGAGAATTGTAACCAACTTCACAGATAAGAGAAGGAACATTTTAATAATGAGGTAGCACAAAAAAAGTAGACAAAGTATAGTTTTTAACCAGGTTTGCTGACCAAGGTGGTGACTCTGGAAGAACAGGTCAGGGATGATACAAAAATCAAGGCACAAATGCAAGTCTAAGCACCAGTACTTTTCATAAAATGTAAACAAAGAAACTTGTAGATGTAAAGCAACAAATACCTGCAAGGTTTCAGAGAAAAACTTCTGATTAAAGGAGAATGCTGAGACTTCCAGTAGCAACTGAGAACTTGGGGAAGTGTCAATCAACAAGGAAGCAGGGCAGGACAACCACAAGAACATTCATGGCAGCTGTATCTTGTTTAATGCTCAAGGCAATACAAAGCAGACAAACAGAATTCATGAGGTAAAGAAAAGCAAGAATTCAATTAGGTGTCAGAGTACACAGGCCTGAGGGTAATATGACATCCTTTGGGCAAATATGAAGGAAAGAGGAGAGGTCAAAACCAGTAGCCCTTGGCATGAATGGAAAAGGCTGAGAGGAGTCATCCTAAGCAGCTGAAATAAAAACAAAGCTGTCAGAAAACAGAGGGGAAAATAAACCCACACCCAAAAACAGAATGAAGAAAATATTCACTCGCAATAAAAGCTGCTGGGAAGTCAGGAGCAGAAATAAGCACCTTGTTTCTAGCTTCTCATGTTTCCAGTAAATTGTGAGGGTTCTGATTAGTTGGGAACCACACAGAAAGCCAACCAAGAAAGGTTCAGAAAGCCAGAACAACTAGGGATGAACACAAGAACAGTCTTCATAAACCAGAGTTTAGAACAGCCTGAGGAGTCAAAGTACCAACAGGAGAGGGGGGAATCAAAAAAGGGAAAAACTGCAGAGCACATGAACACAAAGAAGAACACTACAGAGGGAGGGGAAAGAAGAACCTCCGAGAGAAGAATCTTTTCAGTTCTTGGTCTCAGTTCATAGTGAGAAGGGATTCCAATAAAGTAATGTATAATAAGAAGCTGTAGATAGTATTTCACTTTTTTTTTTTCTTTTTTGCTCTTGATGAAACTGTTTTGCCTCAACATACTTTTTTATTTTGAGGCACTTCTGTCCCAGGCTGAACTTGGGTTTGCAGCTCAGTGGCTCAGCTCATCAGCTGTCCAAACCCCCCATCACGTGAAATGTTGACAGAATTTCTGGCTCCCCCAGAGGCAAAAACAGCTGCTTTGTGTGTCCAGAAACTCCTGCTAAATGATTTCTGTGATTCACCCAAACACCAGACATCTCCCTAATGACAAGCAAGCAGAATGCTGCATTTGCACCAACAGACATCTACGTCACCCACAGAACAGTCACTCAGTTTGAGAACTTATGGCCCCTATAAGCAATACAAGACCTGATATAAAGCAATTTTCCAACTTCACCTTAAACACACGGAGCTGCTGCAAAGCATGAGGCAGTTGAGATGAATACAGGAATAGCAGCATGAATTCTAGTGTCCTTGGACAATGAAGGGAACAGACTAGATAACGTAACAGCTTCATTTACCCTGAAACTTCTCCACGTGACTCTCCTGGAAATCAGTTTGTACCTGCAGAACCCTGGCCTGATGTACAATAGTTTAATAGTCTTGTTAAAATAAAACACTGATGTGTTGAGTTTGACTGTTATACTTCAAAACATTTTCAGGCACACCTCTGAAGCTCAGTTCAACTGGAATTAGATGATGCATCATTCACATGGATAGGAAAGACCCATAAGATTTCTGCTCCATGGGAACTGCTGGAGACACAGCACCTCTAGTTTCAATAGAGAGCTTGAAAGGCTCTTAGATACAGTACAAGTGTGCTCAGCACAAACACATCCGAGAAAAACCCTACACCTTTGCCAGCTTCACTATGACACTAAGTAGTTCATGGGTGAAATGTAACAGTACAATTATCCATCTGCATCCACAGCATTCACAGATAAACCCCAAATATGGAGGCCCCTGGATCAGCTACATCACCTGCTTGCTGGTGACACAGGGCCAAAGCACAGCACTACAAAGAGAAGCCCAAGCTTTGATATGGAAAACAAATTACAGTCCTGCCATCACTCACATTAGAAGAGCAGTTTTCAGTTAAGAGGTTTTCCATCACACAGGGTCATAGCCATCAGTAGTATGTCACTCCACCTTTTTACAAACTATTTCAAAATGATTGACAGAATTATGTCTGGGAAGGAGGACATCCATGTAACAGCACCAGATAAACTTGTTGGTTTCATCAGCAATCTCCTCTTGAGCTTACTCAGAACATGCAAAAGAGCACTTCTGATTCATTGCAGGTGGAGATATTAAGCTCCTTAAACATGTGCCACAAGTAGCTCCTATAACAGACTAACCAAAATTCTCTTCCAACCCTCTCCATTTAGCTTCTTTTTAAGGAGCAGTGGGATCTGTGCTTACCTCCCTCAAATCACAGAAACAACTCCATTGCTGACCTTGTCCTGAAACCCCCAACAGTGATCTAAGGAAGCTGCTCTGGCATCAAGCTCAGGATTCTCTACTTACAACTACTTCCCCTACCTTGTTATGGCAATGGGAAACCAGCCACGGTACCATCAAACTCAATGACAACTTTAAACAGCAATGGGAGCTGCAGCAGCAAGTCATGCTATCAAATAAATACACTGACCAAAGCTCAGCCAAGTCAATGTGCTAAATGGACAAGCAAGACATTCTCTCCTCGAATAAAAATCTGGTTTATGTGGCGTGTGAACACCTGCTGATAATCCACTTTGGGCCGCCTCTTCCTCCGTGACTGGCTTCGTGCACGGCTGCCACCAGCACTGGCACCCTCTGTGTGGGCAGTCCTGCTGCCCACATCAGCTTCACCTCTGGCAACCAAACTGTCACCTGGAGGCTTCTTCTCTCCAGCTCTGCCCGAGTGTTTCTGCCTCTCGTGCTCCTCTTCTGCTCTCCCTTCTCCTGATCCAGCTTTTGATCCCAGGGTCTGAGAGTCACTTGTCAGGGCCAGCTCCTCTGAGACAGTCTTTGAGTCAGCTCCCTTCTTCCCCGAGGACTCCTGAAGTTTGAGTCTGTCAAACAGCTGTAAAAGGACATTTGTGTCTATGACCACATTGATAAGACAGGCTGCTTGTTCCACACGTGGTGTTTGGGTGTATGATCCCAAATCAGAGCTCACAAGACACAATCACTAAAGAATCTTCTCCAGCATAAAGATAATGTTTTCTTACCAAAGTCAAACAGTGGCACAAGGTGAATGGATCTCTTGCACAGTCATGAGTGTCTTTATGTGAGCACCAAGGAATTTAATTTGGTGAGCAACACTGCTGTGTGGTAGCATTTAACTTTGGTCAGGAGCAACAGAGAGACATTAAGTTGCTCCATCAGCTCTTTTTCCCAGTGCTCTTGCAATGCTGTCAGTGTTAGAGACATCCTTGTGTCATGAATGCCTAAGATAAGGGGTCTCCATTAGCAAAGGGTGCACACTGAAAAAATGAGGGACCTTTCGTGTTCCCCAAAACAAACTAAAAGTTGACGTGTGGGTATTTTGGGAGGTGAGCAGATCACAAACAACAGAAAAAAAAATCAAAGCTACAGCAGCAGATCCAAAGCACTGCATGAACTCATTAATCTAAGAATACATGGTGCTGAAACTGGGAAAAAGAAACTGCTTTTACTCTGGCAGCAGGCAAGCTTTTATGAAACACTGACAAACAAGAAGGATTTTTGGTTAGCCCATCTCGTCCCAGCAACAGGATGGAAAGCCAATCCCTGTGAGAGTGGGCTAAATAACAATGACAACTTGATTATTTTTAACTAATCTTTAAAAAAGGAAGGGTGGGATCTATCAGAAAACGGATTTAAATGGCAGGAATTTGAAAGCAAACTCCTCACAATGAAACTGTTTAAATGTTTTTGTGATGCTTCTCTGATGTTCAAAAAGGCCCGGAGCTGTTGCCATACAACGGGCACAGCTCTGTCACTTTTTTTTTCCCTTCATTGTTCAGAAGTTCATTTATCATCTCTTCAGTTCTCAGCTTGGTAAACAACTCTATTTGCAGCTGGATTCTAGAGAGTGCCTTGTTCTGGAGCAAGAATCTTGGGCTCCACAGTACCCAGGCTAGAAGCTCAAGTGACCAAACAGCCGTGTTGTTTCACTGGCTGCAGACACAGACTGTGGCTCCATGAACAGCTGTACCAGAGGAGTGCTCTGCCACATTCCCTGGCAGGACAAACATGGACCTGATCAGTCACAGGTGCAAAAAAACACAAAGAACAAATAAATCAAAAATCAGAGAGTGAGCTTCTAGAAGCTCAGCATATTGCACTAAGCAGTGGCAGCAACTGTGTTCTGAATAACAGGGACCCTAAAGTGGAACTTTAGTAACACTGAACTACGGCCAAAGCACTTTCTAAAAGGTCAGAAAACATTTCGGGTATTTTTTTCCCTCAATTCAAGTCATTTTAGAGTCATCCGTAATAAAAGGAGGTAAAATACTTCAAATGTAAATACAGTTTTCCAATCAGTGCTCCCCTTTTACTACTTTGAAAAAGGAGATACTAAATAAAAAAAGAAAACTGGAGATGGTCACCTACTCGGGTCAGTGTGAGCTGAGGTTCTGCATAGAAAGCTTTGCCCATTACTGGTTTCCTGTAAGTCTCATCCACGTCTGTCAGGGCCTGGAAGAAAAGAAATGGAAAGGTCAAAATTAAAATAAGACATAAAGCAGCTTTGGACCAGCTCTGTGTCAAAGCATAATGAAATTACGTTCTTCTGAGAGAAAATCCATCTCTCCAAAGAACAAGCTGTGCTTTGGAGCTGGTTTGTTAATCATCTAAATTGCACTGAGGTAAAAAAGCAGCAGCAAAGCGTTGCATCCATTCTGCCTTACTTGCAAAACCTTTGTGAGTCTTACCTGCAAAACCCTTCCCACCTCCCCATTTCCAAACTTTTCGCAGCTCCAGGCTCACAAATATTTAATTGCTGCTTTTCCATCCACTGTCTCTAACATGTTCATGGGGTAGAGCACAGGGAAAAGCTTTTGTCACTGACAGCCCAGTGATTTTAGTGAAAGAAAACAATGAAGCAACAATCACTATAAAAAGATTGGGTTTTGCAGAGAAACCTTTGGAAGCTTCTGATACTCCTTCTGCTGGGAACTCTTCAAAGCTTCTCTCTCATCTAAACCCTCTCTAAAATGGTTGGGCACCTCCCAGACAGACCAGCCCGACACCAAGGACCACTTACACCTGAAACCCAGCACTTGGTGCCAGAGCAAATTGGTCTGTGCACCACAACACCACATTAATCCTCTCCAAATGTCGTCTGCTTAAACCTGCTGCAAATTTCAAGTTTTCTATATAACAGTTATAAATCAAGAGCTGGAACAATAATTACCATATTCCAGAATTTGTCAAATGCAACCAGAAACCCCGTGCAGACTCCACGAAGCCCTTTGAAAGTGCGGATATGAACGTTAATTTTAACACCATCTCGGACACAGCGATGAAGTTCCCCCAGCGGGCTGCCTTCGTGGACTAAAACAGAAAGAGAACATCACCAGTCTTCACCAAAATATAAAGAATCATAGCATAGTATCATGGAATGGTTTGAGTTGGAAGGGACCTTAGAGATCATCCAGTTTCAACCCTTCTGCTGTGGGCAGGGACACCTTCCACTATCCCAGGTTGCTCAGAGCTCCATCCAACCCGGCCTTGGACACTCCCAGGGATGGGGCAATCACAGCTTCTCTGGGCAACCTGTGCCAGGGCCTCACCACTGTCACAGGGAAGAATTTCTTACTAACATCCAATCTAAACATACCTTCTTTCAGTTTTATGACATGCCTCCTTGTTCTATCCCTACATTATCTTGTAATGAGAGAGAGAGAGAGAGAAATAAAGTAGAAATCTACTCTATGTACAACTATGGCCCATCTTGGCACAACACTTGTCTTCACAGTAGAAGGAATGAGAAGCCCCAGAGCGCTGTAACACACTGCCCTTGCAATTACCAGACCACCAAAACTCTTCTTATGGTGGGGTTCATAAAACATGAAGGTTTTGCTTTACATAATCCACAGCCAAATCAGCCCTTGCTGAAAATCTTTTTGCTACGTTTCAAAGTCATGCTAAATAATGTTAATCGCAAATAAAAGTGGTTCAGAGGGAACAGAAAGCTCATGGGGGCAGAGTTAGTTTCCCAGAAAATACCTTGTTAAGGCTACCCTGGATTAATTATGATCTGTGAATAAAGTATTGTATCAGATGTGTTCATTTCCTTTATGAGGAGATTTCTGAAGCAATGACTCAAAATCCTTCAACAACCTAAACCAGACCACTTTAAATTGACGAAAATGTGTTGTTTCACTTCAAATTTCAGCAGCCAACTGAACATCCTTCAAAGACATACAAATCTTTGGCAGAGGAATACAATGACTCTAAGCAGCAGACAGCAATGAAACCACGCTAAACCACAGGGCAATAATGCTTTTAGCAGGCCAAAACTGAAGGAATTCAGTGCAACACATGCCTTACCTGGCACACACAAGCCTCATCTGAACACTAGAAATCTTTGCAATATTAGGTTATCTAGAGGGTAAATCTTATTTACAACTTCCACCCACGCCACAGTGAAGCTATTACAGTGATAAATCACAGGTACCCATCTGCCTGTGCAAACACAGCCCCAGGACTGCTGTACAACTCCTGCTGAGAGTCAGGGAAAAGACTCGGTCTAAAATCTCACACAGTTCTTCACATTAATAAAATATGTGAGTCAGAGATGATCTCTCACCTTGTGCTTTAGGGACTATGTATTCAAGGTTTGATTTGCACAGTGGAAAATGCTTCCTGTGAGTGTAAAGTTACTGTATGACAGCTGAGCTGCAGGATTGGGCTGCAGGGTAATTCGCAGCCACAGCAGGGAAATCTAAAGCAGTTTCTTCTGAATTAACCTAATCACGTTTATTTTCTGAGATCCACTGTCCTCTTGCCAGCCCCCTCCTGCAGGATAACTGGAGGAAATTGGTTTCACACAGAGCCCAAGCTATCTCAGCACCTCCCAGCTTTGTTTAAGAGGGTCTTTCTGTGAGTCTCTGTGCCTCCTTCAGCTGAACTGATGACAAACTTATGTTCTGAATTCACAGACCCACCCTGGGAACCACAGATGACACCACCACGACATCAGATTGATGCTTTTAATCAGTTAACAGCACTTTTTCAAACCAATCCTGAGAATTTGCAGTGATTTAAAATCTAGCATTTTAAAAAAATTTTTCATTTTTAATTTCAATATTCCCTTTAAACATAAAATTTTATCTGCACCTTTTTATAAAAATCCAAATGCAATCCTTATTTCCAACTATGCCTTTTCCTGTCAGCACCCTGCAAAACAGCTCTACCAAATCTAGACTGGCCACTTTTCCTTGCTGTGTAAGGTTCTGGCTTATCTATGCCAAACCTCCAGCTTCACCTGATCAAAAGGGCAGAACACATCATCCAAAAACCTCTAAACAACCTGACATCTCAGAAAAAAATATGCAATGCATGATTTTCCTTCCAACACAAGGAATTTATTTTTGGAACACACCTCTTCTGCAAGCACCAGGGGCTGTAATGACCAGGCTCTGCATGCAGCTAAATCTGCCTGTGCATCATCCTGATGCTGTTAAATACCAGGATTAATAATATATAGCAATGCATACATTATGTTTTGGTGTCTAAGCAAGAAAAAAGTTCTGCTTTGGGTAGAATTGAACATTTTGGGCTTTGTCGTTTTATATAAACAACATTAAAATGATGGTGGTGAAGAGATACTGATGCAAAAAAAACCCCAGTATTTTTAATTAAGAGCACTAAAGTTGTATCTCATTTTACAGCAATGCCATTTGATCCTTGATGCAGGTGCAGAAGTGAAACCTCTAATGTTTAGGGGGTATTACCACGACTGCACACATAAATTTATACCAAGAAACTTGTATCATGATCACAACCAATGAATTTAGCAACATCAGAGCTGCCTCCCACCTCAATCCGCTGTTCTGCCATCATGTTAACAGAAATGCCAGTGCTGTATTTATGCCCACAGGATGTTTGGTTAGTAACCAAGTAACAGCAGTGTGTTACAGACTCACCCTGTGGTTATGATTTAACTACGAGCTGCACACACTCAAATCTGATTCCCAGTCTAAAACAGTACTTCTGAAAGTCCAGCAGTTTCTCATCCCTTTTCCCCTTAAAACCAAATGTTTGCCACTAACCAAGTAACAGACATCACCACACAGACAGGAAATGACCATAACAAAGTCAGTGACATCTCTGCGTGAGCAGCTCTGTGAAATGCTGTTCCTCATTCCTGCACACCATTTCATAGAATCACAGAGTGGTCTGGGTTGGAAAGGAACCTTGAACATCATCTCGTTCCAACTTCTCTGCTGTGGGCAGGGACAACTTCCACTAGACCAGGTTGCTCAGAGCCCCATTCCAGCCTGGCCTTGAACGCCTCCAGGGATGGGACAGCCACAACTTCCCTGGGCAACCGGTGCCGGTGTCTCACCACCCAAGTACCATTTCCGACCGAACGCCATCATCCCCCCGCTTCCCTTCATCACCCAACCGCCTCCTCCAGCCACCGCTCTCTTCTCACCTCCAAACTCCCCAAAACTCCATCCCAACTGCACTCCGGGCACAGCCGCATCCCCCGACCCACCTCAGCCCCCTCGCCATCCCCCCCGGACCCCACCGTGCCGCTCCCTCCCACCGCACCCAGCCCCGGCTCCAGCGCCCGCCCCGGCCCCGCTCAGCCCCCGCCGGGGGCCGCGCTCCCTTACGGGGCATCCTGGTGAGGACATTGCGGGGCACCCTCTGCCGCCGCCGCGCCGCCGCTGCCCGCTCGGCCGCGTCCCGCTCGGGGTCCACGTTCACCATGAGGCTGCGGAGCCGCTGGATGCGCTCGGGGTCGGGGTCGGGCGGGCCCCGGCGGCCCCCGCGGGCGGCGGGCGCGGCGCGGCGGGCGGGGGCGGCGCGGCGGCCGCGCGGGCGGCGCAGGCCGCGCTGGAAGCTCTCGTACGCGGCGAGGTTGTTGAAGCAGGGCGCGGCGGGGAAGGGCAGCGGCGTGCGCGGCGAGTAGAGCGCCAGCAGCGGGTCGAAGCGGCTGGAGCTCACGTCCAGGCGGCCGGGGCTCGGCGAGCGGCGGCGCCCGGAGAGGCCCCGCGGCTCCGCGCCCGCCTCGTCCTCCTCCATGGCCGGGCTGCGGGGGCCGCACCGCCCGCGGCCGCCGCCAGGGGCCGCTGCCGCGCAAGGCCCTGAGGGCGGAGCGGCCCCGCCGGGGGAGGCGCGGGCGGCTGAAGGAGCTGTGGGAGCTCGGGAGGTTCCACAGGTGCCGGATCCCTGCGGCGTCCTTCGTGCCAGCGCTGCAGCCGTTCTGAACCGCTCAGCTTAGGCTGTGGAGCTTCTTAGGGTAGCTTATGCTGCGTAAAAGGTCGGGGGTTCTCGACAGACAGGAGCTTCTCGAAAGATTGAGGGGTATCTTTCTTCTGGGAAGCGGAACTGGTAAAAGGAAAACGAAGATAGCAAACTGGTCAAAACTGTCCTCGTGGTCGCACGCTGTTTCAAAGGGGCATGGCCGCTGGTTCTAGAGGGCTTGATGATGTGCCAAAAGTAAGAATTCAAAAAAAAAGGGCAGCGTGAGGAAGACTACCGAGCGATCACCCTAAAGGACCGCTGACTCAAAACGGGAGGCGGGCCCAGGGGAGGAGCAGTTCTGGGGATTGGTTTCTTTCAAGAAAGACAAGGAGCTACTGGAGAGGGTCCAGCAGAAGCCACGAAGATGCTGAGGGGTCTGGAGCATCTCTCTGATGAGAAGAAACTGCTGGAGCTGGGCCTGTTTAGCCTAGAGAAGACTGAGGGGGGGGATCTCTCAGGATGTCAAGGGAATGGTGCCAAGCTCTTTCTTGGTGTTGCCCAGTGACAGCACAAAGAGCAATGGCCATAAACTCAAACACAAGAAGTTTCACCTCAATATGAGGAAGAACTTCTTGACGTTGAGACTGGCAGAGCACTGGAACAGCTGCCCAGGGAGGGCATGGAGTCTCCCTCTTTGGAGACATTCCAAACCTACCCAGATGCATTCATTCCTGTGTCACCTGTTCCAGATAATCCTGCCTTGGCAGTGGGATTGGACTGGATGATCTTCAGAGGTTGCTTCCAAGCCTAATAATTCTGTGATCACTTAGACCCCCCTGGTTCAACCTTTCCCCTGCAGCCCACCCCAGAGCCCCTTGGCAGTTCTGGGGGTGCTCCCTCGACTGGGCACCAAACCCCACCTGCCCTAGGCAGTGAAATGGCACCTGGGCAACACATGGTTGCAGTAAAGTTTGCATTTTAACCCATAAAAGGATATACAGCGCAGAACCACTTCCCTGAGGAACAGCGAGGAAACGCCGTTAATGCTGCAGAGAGGTTTTACTGTAATGATTCACCACCTCCATTACTGTTTCATAATGGGTTCCCGAACATTTAATACCGCCTATTCCGGCAATACATCAGTCACAGGTTGTTCTGAACTTCACAGAAAACCCCTCTTTCTTCCCTGGGTCACAGTACAGGACTTCTGAAGCTACAGTGATCCAAGGAAGAACAGGCACAGGTCAATCTCTGTGTGCCACCAACACCCGGCTGCTGCTTGAACCTTGGCAATATTTATTTTCCCTACAGCTATTAAGTCACATAAATGACTTTATGCATGAGGATGCCACAGAGAGTTTCTTTCTCTAGAATTTATATTAATACAAATTAAAGGCCATAGTTGTACAGACAACTGGTGACTTATTCCATATTATTGTGAGGATGAGTTAATTAGAAAACAGTTTGAGGATAAGACCTAATACAGACCCATTTTTTATACACACACACAAGGTCTATACGTAGATACGTTGGACAATGTATCAGGTGGCCATAATATATAAGATAAAAAACCCACATCATACTTTCCAAGCATGAATCATGGCTGCCAAATTCTTTTTTTCATCTTTAGTCTGAGTAAATCCAAAGTGTTACCAGTTCTGGAACAGCTGCTTTGTATGTAAGGTCCAAAGTCAGGCACCAGACAGTAACATACGGCATTTCAAAGTCAAGTTACATTTGTGTTACAAGACAAAAAAAACAGCAGACAGATAAAAAGTTCTTAGTGGTACATGACTGGTGCAATGATTCATTCACAATCTTTATCTCCCAGTCACTCACAGCCTCTCCTAGGAATTTTGTGGCCTGTTCTACAAACTAAAAGGGAAATAGATTCTCTCATTGCATGTTCTTAACTGCTCAGTATTAGCACAGAGCAGCAGAAGGGGAAGCCCTGTGGTACTATAAACACACAGGCTCATTGTTTAATTTCAGGAAGAACCTTCAAGCAGCAGTTTACATCAGTACCTGGCTGATGTTTTTTAAAAAAAACCACCACCAAAAGGCACATTGCCTTAAATGTGCAAGTTCTTCCTGCAGGAAGGGGAAACAGAGTAGATTGATAAGCAAATTCATGGGAAATGAACTCTATACTAAATGACCTTCTTAGTCACATTTGATCCTTTCTTTCCATTTTTATGGCCAGGCCCAACTGCTGACTATCCCTACCTTAGCAACAACTGGTCCAGTTACTGTTGTAGCACCACGGTTTTGAAACCAGCATGGTTAGAAGTAGTAACAGCCTTATAAATATCTATTATATCATTACAGCTGTGCTTCTACACTGAAATAGGCTATTTCCTTCAAATTCCAAGCCCCTGTCCATTAGCAGAATTTTTTCTGCTCTGAGAGGTTGCATGATTTAACTGTTTTGACAAAGGGTCTTAACTGATAGTTAAACCAGAACAAACCTGTGCATAAACCAGGCAATACACACTCCTCCCTTCCCTCCAACTAACATGGATTGTCAGCACTGCTGTCTGTGTCATTCCAAGGAAAACCAGAAAACAGAAGTACAAGTTGACGTTGGCTCCCTCTTTGCAGGCACCAGGAATGTTTCCCTGTGTTGCTACTGCCACTCCTGCCCAGTAGGAGACAGGTGATGTCCCAGGCCATGGAAAGTGAGAAAAGATGTCTATCCCTGTCCTAAGAGAATTCCAGTCTGTACAGTATCTTTATTAACTTCAGTTTGAAACTTCCACCACTTACTAGTAAAAATCCCAGGAATGAGAAAGGCCACACGATAAAACATACCAGAGAAGGTATTATTTTTAATTTTTACAAGTATAAAAATCCTGTACATTTCACAAAACTTTTTAACATCTGTCAGGAAACTGCTGAGCTGCTCCATTTCCCTTCAGTAAGAATGAGACATGAGGCAGTTGAATGGTGTGTCACTCATCTGACCAAACACACTGGCCTTGAATTGAAATACTTTATGCCAATTGAGTATTCTGGTCCAACTCAGTTGAAGCAAAAATAGAATTAATAATTTTCTACTCAAATATGCAATCTTTTTTATGGTTCAACTGTTCAGTAAAATACCTCACGCTTTACATGGTATAGAAATGCAGGAAATTTCTATACACTTTTTCTACAGATACACATGTACAAGGTAGGAACAGTCTTAATTTATCATGAGTTCTTAACATTCAAAATATAATATGATTTTAGCTTTCCAGATGGGCATATCCTCGTATGTCAGACAACACACCAGTGTCTTCTTTTTAGGCAACAACAGTAATAAAACCAAGTAGTTGCTGAAGAGGATTACAGGTTAAACTCTGCCAGCCACCATCCATACTACTCAGCGACCAACAACCCAACAGAGCAAAATGTAAACTACCAGTTGTACTTGTCAGAGGTATCAACTACCCTCAGCCAGGATCTCAGGATATTCCTCCCAGAACTGGTCCCCAATGATATCACAGTGCAGGGGAACAACTTTAGTCTTAGTCCGGGTCACTTCCACTTCCTTTTCTTCTGCCTCCTTTGGCAGTTTTATTTTCTTCGTGATGATTTCATTAACCTGAAAATACAGTTGACACATTAGCAGACATGTAAAACTCCAGAGGGGATTCACAAATGGACAAGAAACAAAGCCACAACAAAACCAACTATCAACCCTTTATCATACCAGAGTCTGAACACAGCATCTTTTGAAACAGTCTGTTCTCAATTCAAAGACTTAAAAGGTGAGCAGTTGAAGCTGCCCATCATCATCACATGGCCTGAAGAAATTCACATTACTGATTGCAAGTATCCTTGAATGAAGCACAATATGTACTTTGGAGCTATAGTGAGCTATATAAAGCAAAACCTTGCTAATGTCTATAATCACCAAGGAAAAATATGTCTAAGGAACAAGTGGCCTGTATTTCCAGGTGAGTGCCTTTATCTGTTCTAATTAGTTCAAATTAACTAAAAATTGTTAGTCAAAATTTAAATCAAAGAGGATTGTATTTTTTTTATGTATAGAAGACAAAAGGCTAAGCAAGTTATGGAGAACTCTTAGTACACACAGATGGGGCCTGATCACATGAAACACCATTTCTAGATAAGGTCTCCTGGCACAGAAGGACACTAAGGCCATAAACATTTATGATTTTCTGGGGTTTCATCTCATACAAAAACACAGGACAGGAATTTCTTCCACTAATTCTGGATCATCCTAGAATGATGAACATTTCCAAGTTACCTTTAAAGCAGAAAAGGACTAAGCATACTATGAACTGAGCTACATTATCGAACAAAAGGTTGTAATTCCTTTGCCATGGTTATACTTGGGACTTAATTCTGGGAAGAGCCTGGCACAGGCCCCAGTGATATATACATTGTCATCTGTTGATACATGTTTTATCTAGCTGGTCATAATTTGTATCTAAACCAGACTTCACAGACTAATTTTTATATTATGCTCCTAGAAACAAATGTCTCAAAGACATCTCCAAAACAATTAGTCATCTTACACATCATTATATGGCAAATATGGTTAGTTTTAAAATGTATTTATACCCAGACAACCATTTGAGATACATCTGGTGATTTTGCAGTGTAACCTGTCTGCCACAGTGTAACTATTTAAAACATGAGCAGGAAGCAAGTGGCAACAGTTTTTTTACCTTCTGCCATATTAAGACAGTTCCTTTTCTATACATCAAAGGTTCATTGTTGTAGTTGATGTTGAATTCAGAAAATAAGATTTCATTCTTATCTCCAGCCAAAGTTCCCTGAGAGGAAACAAAAAGAAAAATACTCTTATAGATAATAAACAAACAAACTGAATCTCTAGGGTAGAAGATGGGTGAATATTGACAGACTGGCATTTGTGCAGGTTTTTCACCTTGAAGTCACAAGGTTTAATTACTTCTCTCAACAGAGGAATTAATTCCAATTGCCAAACAAGTATTAAAACTGAGAAGTT